TGGCACAGGATAGAGCAGCGTTTAGGGCTGTTGTACATAGGGTCGCTATGAGTCGCAGATGACTCGACGGCACATAACAACAACAACAACAATTTTGTTAGGTGCTACTGAATGGACAATAAAAGAAATCAAGTGAAAGGAAATAAAGTGAATAAAATCAGAATAGAATTCAGGCATGTAACCACAAAGACTCTGCTCATTTATTAAAATAAATTTGAAGTTCTTAGTTTTCTTCTGACCAAAATAAGTGGGAAAGACAATCAATGACAGACACTGTTATTCACACTGTTTAAGAGGGTTGAATCTTGTTCAGGAAGATTAACAGGCAGGAAGAGTCACAATTAGTGTGTGGAATCTTGATTTTCTTGAATGTGTGATTGGGGTTTATATCTCTTCCCATTGTATGTAAGATAAATGCTCTCTGCACAGGTAAACTCAGGGATCATAGCCAAGTTCATGAGGACATGCTAGTTCTGGCTCAGCCCAAGGCTCCTGCTCATGTGTTACACAGCACATTCCAGACACATGAACCTCCTTGCCTATTGTCCCATTTGCATTTGTGGTGCTTCTGGCCGAGGTCCTGGGTTGGACCTCAGAATGGAACAAGGCTGTCTTTGGGAGAAATGGGCTAAATACACTGCTGAGAAGACTGTAAAATGAATCCAATGAAAAATCACTGGTTCCTGAAGAAAATGCAAAGTTTAGGTCTTAAACAAGTCACTTGAACTCTCGTAGCTTTGTGTAGCATCCTGCCTGGCCGTGCTTTTGGGCACTGGCCTTCCCTTTGGAGAACCTGGCAGATAACTCTTCTTTTCCTTGAAATATTAACTCTTGAAGGAAATACACACTGGTGGCCTGATTCAGGCCCTGATGAACTGCGTGCCTTCAAGGCATTGTCTCACTTACTTTATCTTTTTCCTCAGTTCCTGTCATCTCTGCTCAACGAGGCTCCTGGGAGCTGCACCTTCTTCACCTCTGAATAGATAACTGAGGAGTCCTGAGAAAGAAAATTTGTGTGAATAAGGAAGCTAACATTTCCTTGAGGACTTTCACTGTGCCCAGTGCATTGATATAGCAACTTTACTTGAGGAAGAAGGAGTCCTAGGAAAAGAAAAGCTGGGAACTCAGACTCACCTCATTTTTTAGAGGAGTGTGTGGATGCTTTGCTGGGGAAGAAACAGAAAATAATGAGCAGTGAACAACAACATGCTGGTACAGTCTAGTCCTTAGCCTCCATCCTCTGGGCTCAGCCTCTCTCAGGAGAGAATCCAGACACCAACAGCACAGATCTTCTCTCTACACTTCAGAGAGATGTCACTGACAGGGCTGAGGTGGTAGCAGTTACAGCTCTGAGGGGCATGGCAGGCAGCAAAGATCTCCTTGACAGGCTCAGGTAAAGGCACCATCAGAGACAGAAGCATTTCCCTAAAGCTCACCTGCACCTTCTTGTTTCTGGTGGATGCTCCAGACCTGGGAGTAAACCACATCCTGGGAACCAGCCACATCTTCAGAGTCTGGATTCACTAAAAGAGAGAGTAATGTTAGACAGGAGGCTGTGACCAGTTTTGTCTAAGTACTTGCTCCACTCTTTCCTTGTTGTTATTGTTGCTGTTGTCAGTGAGAGTAATGTTAGACAGGAGGCTGTGACCAGTTTTGTCTAAGTACTTGCTCCACTCTTTCCTGGTTGTTATTGTTGCTGTTAGTTGTCATGGGGAAATTGACTCATGGTCACCCCATGCATGGCAGAGTAGAACTGCTCCATAGAATTTTCAGCGTTGTCACATTTCAAAAGTGGATTGCCAGTTTTGTCTTCCAGCTTACCTGTCAGTGAGTTCAAACCACCAACCTTCCAGCTTGTAACTTCAAGCTTAACCATTTGCACCACACTGGGACATACCAACTTTAACATCTTCCAAATGAACCACTGTAGTACCTGGAATGTTAAAGGGCAGCCCTACCATCCTTTCTTCCCTAGTCCTGTTCTGCAGACCATAGCTAACAACCGTGCTCACCACTGCTGTACACGGGCTCCAGTTCCTTTGCTGAGACAGGTGACTTGAAGTTGGTGTGCTCTTGGGAGCCTGGGGTAGTTCCTGAAAGACACAGAGATGTGTGAAAGACACAGAGATGTGTGCTTCTGGAACAGTGAATGAAGAAAAGGAGACTAACTACTGGTAATAGGGTCAAGGGGTGGACACTATTTCATGGAATTGAGTACGCAAAAAGAGGCAGAGACTAGCTAGATTGGTAGTCTAAGACACTGACAGTTTGCATGAGGCCTATCAAGAACAGTGCAGGAGGATCAGTATGACTAAGAAAAATCTAAGATGGGGACATCAGAGTCAAATCAAAACAAAATTAATCATTTGGTCAAATAGCATCTCTACTTACCATTTCCTTCAAAAGTATAGATTAGAAAGTTATCTTTCTATCATCATGAACTAATGTTCTAGAAAAGATGTTTAACTTTTAGTAACACATAAGAGTGAAAAATGAGCCTGGAGATTTAAGCAAATAGAAAAATTCTGTACTCTCTGATTTTCCTCAAAATTATATACGCAGATTTAAAAGCACTGAAGAGTTCAAGTTCACCAGCAGGGGCTCTGGAATTCACTGCTTATTCATACTGCAATTGGCTTAAATGGTAGGAAGATGATTCAAACTCTAATTAAAAAGAAATCTTAGTACAAAGATTGCATGTGATATTTAAGAAGAAAATGGAATGTGTTTATGTGAGCATATTTTTATCTTCCATATAAAATTTTCATATATACTTAATGCAATATTTATTTGTGCCCTAATTATATATTAAAACATTTTTTAGATGGACAGTTCTGTACAGATTCTAAAGACAACTTGCTATGTTCAAAATTAAATTTTCGCATACTAGCTGTGTGACTTTAGCTAAGTTACTTACCTTCTCTGTGTCTAATCTAAGTAACAACCAGTTAGTAAAGCACTAAGAACAGCGCCTAGAACATAGTTAGTAAAGGCTATGCTCAAGATTACATATCCTTATCAGGAAGCTTGGAATTTTGTTATTATTTCTGAGAATGAATCATAAGGACAGGATGTGAAGAAGTCACAGAAACAAGGGCATTTGAACTCAAGTTTCAAGAAGTTGAAGTTAGGAACAGAGGAAAGGAAGAAAAAGTCAATGGATCTGGCTGAAAGCAGAGAATAGCAGAAGAGTGTTTATTTGTGAATTATTGACTATGCAAATACTTTTGACTGTGTGAATAATAACAGATTATGATTAACATTGAGAAGAATGGGAATGCCAGAACACTTAATAATGTTCATGAGAAAACTTTACCTAGACCAAGAAGCTATTGTCCAATCCTAGAAAGGGAACATTGATTGCGTGGTTTAAAATTAAGATAGATGCATGTCAAGATAGTATCCTTTGTCCATACTCATTCAACCGGTATGCTGAGAAAAATCTTTCAAGAAGATGGGCTCTATGAAGAAGAATGTGGCATCAGGATTACAAGAAGACCAATCAACAACCTTTGTTATGCAGATAACACAACATTGCTTGTTGAAAGTGAAGAAGAAGAATAGAATTCTTGCTGCAGAAGATCAAAGACTATAACTTTCAATATATAGATTACATTTCAACATCAAGAAAAGTCCTCATCACTGGACTTATAAGCAACATCATGATAGATGGAGACGATATTTATATGTTAACAATTTCGTCTTACTTGGATCAACAATCAAAACCCTTGGTATCAGCAGTCAAGGTTGGAAAATCTGCTATCAGGGACCGCTCCAATTCACTGAGGAGCAATGATGCCAGTTTTGATGACTAAAGTCTTCCTGATTCAGGCCATGGACTTTTCAATCATTTGCTATGCATCTGATAGGTAGAGAATGAATAAGAACAACAGAAGAATTGATGTCTTTGAACTATGGTGTTGGAAAAGAACACTGAATGGACTGCCAAAAGAACAAATAAATATGTCTTGGAGAAGATGCAACCAGAACGCTCCTTGGAGGCAAAGATGTTGAAGTTTATCTCATGTATTTTGGACACATTGTTAAAAGAAGCTATTCTTTGGAGAGGTAGAGGGTCGGTGAAAGAGAGGAAGACCTTCAGCCAGATGGATTGACACAGTAACTATGATATTGGGCTCAAGTATATCAGAGATAATGAGGATGGTTCCGGAGAGGACAGATTTCAGATATGTTGTTCATAAGGTCACTATGAGTTTTACTCAATTCTATAGCACTTACGAACAACACTAATGCGAAGGTATACAGTTCAAATCCACGAGGTGCTACACAGGAAAGAGATAGGCATTAACCTGTGTGATTTACTGCTTCTGAAAATCCACTGGGATGGGTCATTTTAAACTCTGCTACACAACAACAGTCCCAAAAAAGAGTAAGGACAGAATATAGCAATTCACCGTTTCTATTTTTTAATAAGGTTCTCTATTTTGAATGCTAAATAATTCAGAAGGAAAATTTCCACATTCCAACACAGTACATGAACAATAAATAAATGGACTGACAAAGAAATGAACCACCTGAGGTGAGGGTTGCCACCAGTACCATTGGTACACAGCAGAGAATAATGTCAGCCAAATTGACATAAATAGAATCCATTCATTTCAGACATTGGTGAACAACCTTGCTGAGAGGCTTCCAGCTAGGATATGCATCTCACCTTTCACGTGACTGCCTTGCATGTGGATTTCCTGATGGGAACTTCCTGTTATGTCTCATGTTTTCTCTAATGGCACAGTGACGGCCCTAGAACTGATGCCAGATACACGTTTATGGAATAAATAAAAAATGTGAAAACATGTAAACCTGTCTTCCCCAGGGCAGACAGCAAGTGCTTTACTCTTGAAAATCTTAGTGATCTGGTTACTGGCTATATAACTGAAGTGGGCCTCTTTGCTTGTGTAAACAGTGGTTTATGCTTTACAAGTACAGGCATATCATGGGAATGCTGTAAGTTCACTCCCAGATTGTCACAATAAAGTGAATATTGCAACAAAAAATGTCACATAAATCTTTTGATTTCTCAATGCATATAAAAGTAATGTTTACACTATGTTGTAGTCCATTAACTGTGCAAAAACAGCATTATGAAAAAGTTTGAAATATTGCTAAAATTACCAAAATGTGACAAAGAAGTGTGCATGTGTTATTGGAAAAATTGTACCCACAGGCATACTCAATATAGGGTTGCCAGAAACCTTCAATTTTTAAAAACAGCAGTATTTGCTAACTGCAATAAAATGAGGAATGGGAAAGCAAGATATGACTATTTAGTGTGGTGCATTAGAGTGCTGTATTCACACTACTTTGACCAGGTACTAGCTGGGCAACTTAAAGTAACTTATCCAACCTTTCTTTGCCTCTGTTTCTATTTCTGCGAAATAGAAATAACAGTAATGTCTTTCAAATAAGGATTAAATTTATTAATGATTCTTTAGTTGTACATAGGGTTTTCAAAGTTATTTCAGAAGTAGAGGGAAAATTCTGCATCCTAGACTATCTTGGGAGCTCTCATGGCCTAGTGACAAGAAACTGTGTTGTAGTCTCGAAAGCTCGCAGTTCAAGACCACCAGGGACTTTATGGAAGAAGGATGGGCATGGGAGAAGGATGGCCAATCACCTCTCATGGGATTAACTGCCTCTGAAAACCCACCGGAGGGTCAACTTGGGTTTGATTCCTACTCTATGGTACACAACAATAGTTTGGCTTAATCGGGAAGTTTGTCTGAAACCTGTTCACCATCTCTGCTGGTATTTGAAACCCCGGTGTGTCAGCTTCCAGTAACACAGCAACCTGAAGGTCACCTCAGTGAAACAGACTGACAGACAAGAGCTATAATCATAATAGTGTTGTTGTTGTTTTTGTTGTTAGAAGTCAAGTATGACTAAGAGCAATACTGGAATGCCGTCCTATCCCGTGCCATCCTCACAATCTCTGACACACTCAAACCCATTGCTGCAGTCACTGTGTCCACTCACCTAGTGGAGGGTCTTCCTTTCTCTTGCCACTCCCTCCATCTCCCCAAGAATGAAGTCCTTCTCCAAGGAATAGCCTCTCCTAGCAACAGGTCCAAAGTATGTGGAATTAAGCTTCATCATCTTTGCCTCCAAGAACCGCTCTTGCTGCACCTTCTCCAAGACATATCTGTTTGTTCTTTTGGCAGTCCATGAGATATTCAGTATTCTTCTCCAGCACCATATTTCCAAAGACATCAATTCTTCTTCTGTCATCTTTATTCATTGTCCAGCTCTCAGATACGTAGCAAGTGACCAGAAAGACCATGGCTTGAGTCAGGTGTACCTTAGTCCTCAAACTGACATCATTATTCCTCACTAATCTGGAGAGGCTCCTGACTGCAGATTTTCCTAATATAATAGACTTTCTGATCTCTTGACTACTGGTACCAGGTATTAATTGTGGAACCAAGTAAGATAAAGTTGTTGACAGTCTCAGTCCTTTCTTTGTCTAGCATGATGTTACTTATCAGTCTAGTAGTGAGGATATTTATTTTCTTTTTTTATTTTTAAATATACTTTTATGTTATGCTGCTTTGCTTTTATAGTTCACATACATTGTTGTGCACACTGGATCTTCCCCATTTCCTTTATTCACTCCTTCCTCTACCCATCAAATTGTGCAGCCTGATGATTACTCCCTAGCCCATCCTCACCTCTCTGCTCCTGCCCTTCCCCCCCTTGGATCCTAATATCCATTTTATTAGTTTTATTTCTATTTGTACAATAATAATCTTATATAGTATTCGTCCTTATGGAACTGAGTTAGTTCACTTCGCATAATGCTCTCCAGTCCCTCTCAAGTTAAGTAGTAATTTTCAAAATCACTGTTCCTACATGCTATATAGTATTCCATCTGATCTTAGTTTTCTTGATGTTGAGATGCAATCCATACTGTAGATGGCCGTCTTCTTAACCTTCTACAGCAAGTGTTCCAAGCCCTGCTTATTTCTAGCAAACAAAGTGTGTCATCTGCATAACAAAGGTTTTTAATGGTTATTCCTCCAATCTTGATGACATTATTTTTCTTTAGAGAGTCCAATTTTTTCAAAGATTTGAGCAA